TTTCTTTTCCAAATACATTCATTTCAAGTTCAGTCTATGAATTAATTGATACGAATTAAAATAGAAATCTCATTAGTTATACGATTTATATAAATCTTATCTCATAATTAATTGTAATTTTATATATGAATATGTAATTTTGATATATTTATGTAATTATAAATAAATCTATTATTATTTCATTATTGAGTACAATAATCCATTATGCTATAGCAATATAAATAAAACATACTAAAAATTCCGAAGTTAGCAAAAAATAAAGTATATTTTTTGAATCTATAAATGTATGGAAATATATCTAAAGATTAAATAAAAATTCCTTGTTTGCCAATATACCAGTATATTATTTAATTATTATTATTGTAATATTGTTATTTTAAGCAGAATTAATTATTTGAAACTATAGTAAATTATTTAGTTTAAAATTATCAGTTCTTGAACTTAAATAATTTGTTCACTTTTTCGTGGATTTTTTCATCATAAAAAATTTATTTTAATTGGATCTTAATGTTAATGATGTGCTAAAACATGTGAACAATTAATTTATTTACAGTAAAAATACTAGCTTGTTTAGGTAAGCAGGCAGATTATTATTGGGGATGTGACTAACATGTAGTTTTCCATTAATATTTGGTATTAGGATTAAATGTTTATGGACTCACTGTACATAATATGTACTAAATATCATAACATTTTTATAAAATATTCTGTAGTAATAGATAAAACAGATAAGAAATTTACAAGAAAGATAAGAACCTGATTTAATCACTCGTTAAGACCTGTTTATATCAGTGGTTAGGTTATGAAAAAATACTGAAAAGTGTCAAATATTTGAAAATCTCGTTTCAATACATTCGAGGTACAGTACATTTAAATTAATAAATATTTGTACTTTAAATTGTATTCATAAATCATATTAATAAAACAAAAGTTTTAATTTTAAATTTCGAGATTTATAAATTATTGTCTTTTAATAGCTGAATATTAAGTAGTTTATGCTTAAAATGTGTAAGTAATAAATGGTTTTTATTAAGTACACTATAGTAGTAATGATTTATAAATTTTTTAAATGATAAAAATCGTAAACAGAAAACACAAGTTTCCAAAAAACACTAAAGTATTTCTCAATTGCTTAAACATACCGGTGCCATTGGATCAGACAAGACAACTGTTGACTCCTTTTTTTCAGATAAAGGTATTCAATGATTACGAAAGTCTGTCAAGTTTTGCGGTGTATATAAGATGACGAGAATATGTTCAAGAATTCAATTCACTGCTGTTATTGAATACTCAATTCAAAGACAATTTAATACATATTTTTAAAAAACCTTCAAATCTCTTATTTTTAAACTTGAAGTTATTTTGTGATTTCGTTTCACATTATATTCAAGAAATGGACAAAAGAGACAATTTATCGGTTGTTATCCACAAGAAGGAAGACTTGCGAGTGGAGCAAACAGAATTGCCAACTGAGCCTGGTCCATATGGTAAATATGAGTTATGAATTAGTTTTCTAAGTATATTTCTTAACACAAGTCTATCTGAAACCTCATTAGAGGTACAGTTGGCCTCACATACAGTGGGAATCTGTGGCTCAGACGTACACTTCTGGAAAGACGGGTGTATTGACAAGTGGGTCATTAACGAGCCTATAGTGACCGGACATGAATCCAGCGCTACTGTCATCAAAGTTGGTCCTAATGTCAAGAATCTCAAAGTGGGAGACAGAGTGTCAGTGGAGCCGGGAGTGGGCTGTATGTCCTGTCAGGTGTGCAAAGACGGCTTCTATAACTTGTGTCCCG